TCGTTTGCTGTCTATTGCTTTTCTGATAGTTTACAACTGTTTATCTCGAATGATAGAATAGTATATTGCATATTTTCGTGCAGCAAGTTTCTTAACCTCAACCTTTTCCGCATTCCAGCTGAAAGTCAACCAATGGCATATTTCTACAACAACCTCGTGCTAGGTCGAAACTAAGTTAGTTAACAAATACTTTGCTTGAGCATTTAACATTCGGAAACCTAAAACTTGACGGTGTTACATGCAGTTTTCTGAATGAATATTCATTCAGGCCGGAATCACTAGCCCAATTGCGGATCCGATTGAGCATTTGGTTCCTTTGACAGATGTACAATCAACAATAATCCAAGGCAATTTTCGCAACCGTTTGATTGCGCTTGAGTTTTATCCAAGTGCCTTACACTAAACATCTGATGGCGTAGTGGTTTAGTCGTGGTCACCGGCGTGCTTTAGACCCTGCGGGCCGAGGTTCGAGCCCCGCCACCCGACTTTGGTAGTAGGCAGCTCCGTTGTCCCCCTGTTCAATACCACGCATAAGCTATCGGGGCCTTATGTTGTTCACCATTCCAAGTCCCGGGGCTTAGGTTGCCGGTCTCCACCACTGAACAGCAGGTCCTCATGACAATGGGGTTCGCCTTATCTGCTGCTCATTACACTTAGGTTTGTAATAAAAAAATTCTGTTTTTTCTTGTTTAGCTTAGTTAAATTTGTTCCCAGATTCACTGGCAAAGAATTGCATCCCGTGAATGGTGTACAAGTTCCGTCGTAAGTTCAATTGACCAGTTGTGTGCGCTAGTCACAAAATCAGTGCGTAATAACTGCACTTTTTATATCTGTATTCCAGATAAGAAGTACGAGACAATTATCCTGCCGATTTTCGGATTGCCAACACCTTTCCATATCAGTACAATCAAAAATGTTTCCACATCCATCGAAGCAGACTATACATACTTGCGTATCAATTTCCACCATCCCGGCGCGGTTGTCAGCGCGAAGGACGCGGCGAGTTTCCAGGTAGGTGGTTGCCAAGTGCATGCTTTTAAAAGTTTGTTCTGCCCCTTCGTCCTATGAATTATGGGTATCAGGTTTAGGAGCTGTCTCCACTCAATCAGGGTTTTTAGTTGATGCTGACACAAGACCAGCTGCTCTAATTCAGACGAGTATCTATATTGTAATGACTAGTACTGTTCTTCCGTGCAACGCGACAGCACGTCTTTGACAGTGTGCTTAAATTTCTCATTAGGTATGCTTGTGAAGTGTCGATGGTTTCAGCCTGCTTGGACTCCACAAGTGTGTTCGGCTCTCCCTCGATAGCCAACAATTTAGCACTCAACGGTTGTCGTTTTGGTTACAGAAGAAAGAAAAAAATGGTATCGATTCACAGCCGACTTCTGTTGATTATCTTCCAACCACTTCAAATACTCTAATAGAAACATACACAAAAATCCAGCAAGCAATTACGTATAATTAATTACGTTATTGTCATAGATTGAAACTGAACCGAGTTCGGTCCCGGGGGAATATGTGCAAACCAAAATGTACGGCAAGCAGCTCTCTCTCCCTCTCCAACTGTACGCATTTATTTAAGGGTTTCTGATTATGTGACCATCACAACATGCTACATGTTCAGTATTGCGAATGATGTAGCATTTCACAACTTTAACACGTAAACCTTTGTGACTTGTGAAAACTATTGCTTACAGTGTTGTCATTTTCACGGCCAGTTTTCTCTTAGAGAGCTTCTCTTTGGTGTTTGCTGGTGGAGAGCGCATGGACAACAATTCAGGAACCGGAATTTGTTAAATCCTGTAATTGGACTTTAAAATGCACTCAGCATGTGGTCGTTGATAGCATGGTAACGCAGAAGTATGCTTCTTATCACTGCTATAGACTCACATTTTATTTCATAGTAATTTGTGATACTTACGTTCCATACTGAGATCTCCATTCAATGCATTAAACATTATTAATCTATTTCGGTCTCGAAGACTCAAAACATCGGTTAATCCAAAGATTGATGTCATTGAGTTTTTGCGATCCAATATCTAACTAAGAAAAATCTGTTGTTTGTATTTCCACATGCTCGCTTGTGCGGACTTGGGTGTCTATGAGGCTTGAAGTGTTTAGAAACGGATGTAACCGAATTGTCTAATACCTACCGGGCTGCCATGATTACAACCGAAGTAAACTATGTACCCAGGAGTTTGCAATTTCCAATCAGGTAGTTCAGCGGCATGATGACTACCCTTGAGGTCTTTGAACGTAACTAGCGTTATCCTCCCGGTTCCGATAGCTATGAGTAACGCTTTTGTGCGTCGATGTCATATCACACACTGTTTTAAGTCGACTGGCATCGTTCTCAATAAGAAGCATATTCAAAGACGTACAGCAGGTTCCAGCCCATAAAATACTTCTCAGAAGGTAGATAGCATTTCATGTCAGAATTGGTTTGTGCTAAAACCGGGAAAATAAGGGTCGCAGGTCAGTAACCCTTTAATGTTCGGTTTATTGTTATTATTATTATTATTTTCAAGTCAAATCAAGTCAGTAGTAGCTTTATGCACCCGAATGGGTGTATTTTCAGCAATT